TGTTTGGAGTAATTTGGTAAATATATAAATAAATTTTTCATTTAGTTGGATAATTTTTTTTTTTTAATATTTAGCGCACATGCAACAAAATAGTAATATAATAAAATATCAACAATAAAACAATTTAGATTATTTGTATTTACATGAACAGAAAGTTACTCACAAATAAAAATTGACATACAATGTCTACATACACATGTAATGTTCATAATCATTTTGAAAATGATGATGATTTCATTTAAATTCGAAGGCACAAGTCTGGCGTTTATAACTCAGGGTTGTAAACTTTACTACGCTATGTTCGTTTAATTTGTTCCAATATTAACAACCCTGAACAATTAATATAGCGCCGTCTAGTCCCATTCTAAGCAGAACTTGTGTTATGGGATTTCTTATAAAACAAGCTCTGCTAAGCTTGTGTTTTATAGCAGCTATTATAAGCATTTATAGCAGTTATTAAGACAACTGCTATAAATATTTATATACATGTTCTTGTAAATATATACATAATATACAGATAATAATACTCAAGAATACAAATGATTGGACAGTGCAAGGAATCGACCCCGCGACCATCGCAAGTAAAGCAGTGTGCTAAACCGCTAGACAACTGAAGCCGTGAAATGTATACGTACAAACTTGCTGTAATAAGCGATTCCCAGCACCAAACTAATTTATGCTGTGAAATGTAGGTATGAATTTAAATAATTTAACATTTAAAAGTCTTCGAAATGGCGCGGGATGGCACGGAAAATTATGCGTCAGTTTTATAAAGGCGTTAGCAGACATCACGATTTTAACATCAGGTAGGAATCAATTTAGTTTCATACTATAACAGATCGATAGAGTATATTTTTTATACTAATAATTTTGTGGTAAATAAGGGCAGAAGAAAAAACTTTGGCACTTATCTACATTGACATCGCTGTTACTCCAGCCAGCTCATAACCACGGCTAGTGCAACATAGTCGAAATGTCGAGACCTTTATTTACCGTAATATAAATAATGTATATTGAACAGGAAAGTTTAAAAATAACGATAGAGTATATTTTATCGAGTTAGGTGTTATTTTTCGAAAGTCCATTTTACTACTTAAATATTATTTTATTTAATTCCGCTACAATTAGCGTGTATGATGAGACCACAAATGTTTAGTGCGAAAACTTGACTACCGTTACGACCTTCTCTAATGGTGATCAAATTCCGACCGTTATTGAGTCTACACACATTTCACATCTGCAGAAAGTATCATCAGGCATTGAATAGAGTTGGGGTATAGCTTGGAAGTCTAATGTTGACTGGTCGGCGACCAGAAGCAGATTGGTCGCCGAACAGTCAACATATAACGTATAACCAATAATGGTCGGAATTTGATCACCAATAGATAAAGTCGTAACGGTAATCTATTTTCCTCAATAAATATATGTGGTCTATACCTGCTAATTGTAGTGGAAATAAACAAAACAATATAAATCCATTTAGTAGATCAATAGAGATCCGTTTACGCGTATGATGAATGAACCAGCCATTACTTCGATCAACTATTCGATACTTCGGTCAGTATTTTAGGCAGCTCGTTCCTCCGCTATCCGTCTGGTCATTCACTGAGTGACCTACTCAAGATACCTAACGTCATAACTACAAAGATTTCATTTTCTCTAATGTTCGTGTGTCACGTTTGTTTATTAGGGCCAATGTATAACTTAATTGAACAAATATTTGCCCCAATACCATGACGTCGTCAGCGTACAGTCTGAAACCTATTTATTTGTGTCAAAATGTGTTTATTAGATTGATTTTCATAGAATCTTCAGTAATGTATTATTGGTATATGAAATTACTTCTACCTACGCCTTGTTTGATGTTAATACATGTGTATTTGGAGAAATTAATCCATGTGGTATCAGCCCACTGCAAGGCTCGTCCCAAAATTTATTTTACGTTTATTTAATGCAAATAAGACGCAAGATTGAAACATCTACCAATTCTAGATGAGATGAAAATGCTTGTTTGATACTTTTAAGGCGTGATCCTTCTGTAGATGGATTTTGGTTTTAGGCCTTATTTATTTAGATTTTGATTATAGAAAATTGACATAATTTTCATATTATAAATAATTCATTCAAATGCTCGAAACATGCTAAAAGTTAAAATAGTAGTTGAATTTTCAGAAATTTTCTAGTTGTTATATATTTGTACATATATATAGGTGTTTAATGATGGCCAGCACCGGAGAGTTAGTAAAGAAAGTAAATTGCCCCTAAAGTTTATTTTTGTAAGCCAGATTTGAATTAACAATCGTTGCAGTCGACATCGGGTCGAACTACTAAACTATAATACTAGGCTACGATGCTATGAATTATTTTCATCATCTCAAACTATACAAAGGTTATTTATCTAGTTTCTTTACTTGTGTTTTACTACCGAATTGCTATATACTAATATTAACTAGAAAACAAACAGACAGGAGAGACAGACAAATTAATAGCAGCTGCTAGCGATTAATTTGTAGTGTAAAATAAACTGGCATGACCACTATAAAAATGAAGCAATTAATTTACGAGAATGTGATATAGACCGATTTAAAAAAATTGAAGATATAACTGTATTTATAGTAAAATCTGTATTTGTAGGTAAAATATGTGTACTTCTTCATATACCTAAGATATGAACATTAATTATATAATTCACACAGCGCCATCTAGTCCCAAGCTAAGCAGAGCTTGTGTTACGGATACAGACAACTGGTATAAATACATATATACATTTTTTTGAATGCATACATATTATACATATAATAGACCAATACAAACAATCATATTCATGAATACAAATGTTTTTACTGTGCGAGGAATCGAATCCACGACCATCGTACGCAAAGCTGTGTGCTAAACCACTTGACTACCGAGGCTGTCGAACATTCATAATATATTTAAGTGCCAGGGTACAGTTTGTACAAAGTTATCTATCTGCTTCACTTATGTCAGCCGCCAAGCTCCTTGATTTGTATGATGTGTTTAGTTACACGACTGTTCTTATGGATAATAATGGAATGGGATACCCGTCTGCACTAACGGTTTACGCTGGCGGGGCACCAGTGGAGGATGATAAGACTCGCATGAGGTCAGGTCAGTTAGCCCATCGTGGTAAATACACCATGAATTTAACACGGTGGTTTCCAGCAATGGGGTTATTAGTCCACATTAGTAGCAATCTCCTTTCCTCCGGTTTCATGTGATTTGTAATCTCGTCACCGAACAGTCAACACTTCCAGACACTATCCAATCTCTATTCATTTCCTGATGATTGGAAAACGCGTGTTGCAATATGGGTGTAGATTCAATAATTGTCAGAATTTGATCACAAATGAAAAGGTAGTAAAGCTTCGGTAGTGGTCAGATTGAATGTTTGTAATCTGACACATATACTTATAATATCGGAGTTAAATAAAGTAATTCAAATTATTTAGAAATTAAATATACTTCCCCAAAATAACACATAATTCTAGAAAATATAACTGTTTGTTATTCCCACAAACATAAATAAATAAATATGTGAATAAAAATACTAACAAAATATATTTTCTTTAATATCTGATATCTATATATTTACATATAAATGTATATTTTTATGTATACTTTTTTAAAAAAATAAATAAAAACATATATATTTAAGACCTAGTAACGTAAGGAGGTAGTCTACAGTCTTAAAGAGTCGAGACTCTACCTTAAAGCTAGTGAGATCAAATCTGGTCGAAACCAATAGCTTAGTGAGTATATTGACTGTCAAATTACTAACTGACTATGCAGTGATGGCAAACGCCGATGACAAACCAAAATAATCCGACCGATGACAGCAGGATCGCGCCGCTTTAGATTCAATTACTCTCGGTGAAATGTGGCCATGTCAGGTGTTACATTCACCACAAATCGACAGTCGACTAAACCATCCTCGATTACAGACGTCAGAAGAGCTATGTATGTATGTTTGTTTTAATATTCAGTAGGGATGGGAGAAATAATAGATTATAGTATATGTCGATTATATTGCAATAGGAAATCGATTTACAAATTGATAATAATATTCCAATGAAATGATTATTGATATATCGATTTAAAAAAAAGCTTTATAATTGACGAAAATGTGCTATAATTAATAATGAAATTTTAATAATTAAATGTTTATATTTGCCCGATTTTTATGCAATAAAAGAAACAATAACATAAACATAAACACCACAGGTTAAGTGTCGAAAATTACGTTAGTGATACGTTACGATAGTGATAATAAAGACTTTTTCTACAGAATGTCACATCCCTAGTACCATAAAAAAATCCCTAATGCTAACCTCTCATCATCTTTATTCCTAAAGATCAGCCTTTTTGGTAGTGACGTATGTAGCATCAGGTCTGCTTTTTCCACCACATTTTTTTGTCAATAAATAGATAAATAATTTTTATCTATTCTCTTTTATTAATGTCTAATCTAGTCCTAAACTAGGTAAATGTAGTCTTATCGACTCTAGCCAGCTCTAGGAGCTTAGGAGATTATGATGATTTGTGTCAGTCATATTACAATTTTTTTTTAACTTAAAATTCATACATTGAGATTTAATTTCATTTCATTTTTTTTTCGGTCATTTTGTTATCAACCTTTGTTAATCTTTACAAAGGATTATCAGAAGCTACCAACCTAGATAGTGTTAAAATAAGTTCATTAACGAAAGAAGGTGGGACCAGAAATGTCGTAGTCTAACAAAAGGCATAACTCGCCCCATTGTCCGCCTTCATAATGCAAAATACATGCCTATTCATTCCAGCTTTGTAATAACGCGCCCCTTTCCTGAAAACCGCTCACCCCCTATACGGGTGCTGAATCACGTGTGATACCATCCATCCTTGTCGAACAACACAATCACTGGTATCGTCCGTCTCGCTCTAACAGCACTGATCAGCGCACGCAATGCAGGTGAAACGACCAGTTCAGTCGCTCTCCGGCCTCAGTGTGTAAGGCTCGCGCTTGTACACTCTACATTTCCCGCGAAAATTACGTACCATTCCTATTACTTATAAATAATAACGAAATATATTAATACTTCAATAAAAGACTATATATTTTTTGTTAATGTGTGACGTTTATCGATTATTATCAAAAGTGAAAATCTATCTGTGAATATTTCGTTAGGAAAACATTTGGTGTGCGGATTGTTTGGGTTTCCACCGGTTTTTCATCTAATAAGTGAGTACTTAATATTATATTAAGTTGATGAATGAATTTTTTGGACTTCCCACACAGATAATTGATTTACAATATGACAGGAGCGTCAATAGAATATTCATCAATGAACCCGAAAGTTTGGTTCATCAAATATTTACGTTATCAAGTTGAAGGCACGATCGTTGTAAGGTCATGCCAAGTTTGGGACCAGTTTGTCTCTAAAAATGGTGCATTAGGTTACAATATTTTTGCCATTAACATTAATATTTTTTTTATATTAAATCACTACATTTTTAATAAAATTTTACTTCTCTGAAATATGTTTATAATATATTATTATCTAGATTCCTTGCAAAAATACACTCAATGACACATAGTAATGTTAATATTTTAGTATCATATACTATTTTTTTTTATTTTAGTTTATTTTAGTTTTTATTTTTGATTTTAAATATTTTATATTAGATACAACGGTTCAGATGAAAATTAAAATGATAAAACACCTAATTATGTAAATATAAAACAAGTATAACAATTTTTTACTCTTAAAAATTAAATCATAGTAGAGATATATAAAATGTTATTAAAAAGTTTAACCTATATAAAATTCTAAAACTTCAGGTATACCAAAAAAAATTTATTATTTATTACAAATTCACAAAAATAGATCGTTAGCGAAAATTTGGAGGAAAAACTATATTTAAAAATTGATGTTTGAGCCACTAGGCTAACTGTACTAACAGTTCTATAGTATTCTAAGATTAATAAGAACATGTCTCCGTTATTAAACTTTTTCAAAAACCACAAGCCCTCTGAAATATAGAACACAGAATTAAAAGTGACAATAGCAATAAATAACATTAATTCTAATTATACTAGTGTATCGAACAATTTTAATATCCTGTAAGTAATTATTATTTATTCATTACTATTTAAATCGACTACCAAAATGAGAAAGAACTATGACTACTTTAAATGAAATAACATTCAGAATATCAATTATTTTCAATTTGTTACCATTCGTAGGTTAACATACATTACTCATACCTACCTCATGTTTACTTTTAAAATTAAGTTCTAACTTATTTTGAGGAAAACATTCGCATATACCATTTACCTATAACCATAATAAAAACGGTTCACACATTATTATGTAAATAATTATTACGTATAACGAATAGGTTATTCGATGTGTGTAATCGAATGATGAAAAAGTCAATCGCGGATCGTTTTATCATGCAAATCAATTCGAATGAATACGAAATTGAAGAGCACAAAAAATACACGATACATATGCTACAATACAGTTTTGACGCCTATAGAGACGAACTGAAGACCGTATCTATTTTAACACACATCCAACTAACAGACTGTTGGCGAGCGACGAACTTTCCGTATTTTATTTTTAAATAAAAAAAAAGACATTCTTCTCTCGACTCGAACCTTTTGTTTCAGATGTCTGTCGCGCGTTTAAAAAAAATCTGTACATGTTGCCAAGTAAAACTGATATCAAATTGTCTCCGAGAATTTATAGGCCTTATGTGCTGGCCAGCTGCTGAAAATGTGCTGTGATTAGTGAAATCCTTGTCCGTAATGTGTTTAAAGAGATTTTCTTCGGTATCTCTAATGGGTCGGAAGATATCCCGGCTTGTAATTCGACAGGATTGTATCTGAAGCTTCTGGTTCAAATATAGACCTATTTCAGAGCGACAGATATTCGGTTGAGAAACGTTTGGTAACGAAAATAGTTTTTGGAACTTGGTCTGTTAAGATTCAAGATAATTATATAACAGAGAAGATATTCTGATCTGTATTAATACCTATATGTAAGAGGTAATATTTTAATGAAAAAGTAAAGTTTTTCTTACCTGCTTAGAAAATTTTTAAAACCATATCTTGATGTTACTGTAAAGAGGATTTTATCACAATTAATAGTCATGAATACATCATATTAAAAATCGTATTGTTTAGTTAATCTATAACATCTCACAATAGACTTATATCTTAGTTATATAGGTCAAAATTTTGTTACTGGTAAATATAAATTGGAAAATTTTAAGCCAACTTTTCCATTTAAATTCTATCAGCATAACACATGTTTTTAGCTTAGCATTGTGTCAATTGTCCAGGGATATTATAATTATTTCATTTCCGCTTATGTAAATAGTTCAATGATAGAATTACAATAAGTGAAGCAAGCAATAAAATAGTCTCTGGATAAACTATTGTATTAACAATGTACAAGTGAATAACGGAAATTCTAATTTCAGCAATCGACAAGTTTATATTACGTTGCGTTGAAAAGATTGTGATTATTTTTCTAAGCCACCTCGTATTGGTTACCATAAACATTACTCGGTTTATATCAGCAGTCCATACAATCATGTTAACCATGTTCCTTCTTTCTTTTAAAACTTTCAATGTATTGTTTATTCACGTAATCCGTGTTCCAAAATAAATGGCATAATTAATTTCTATTTCTACTTCGATATCTGAAATAAAATTATTTAAAAAGTAAATAGGCATTTCAAAATATTCATTTTTTATATTATATAATTTAACCACACTGTGTAATCCGTTGCGAAAATTGGTCCAGGTAACCTTCAAACATTATCTAAGTATATTATTAGTCGTAATAGTAATATTGATTATTAATTTATAAATAGATAAATATTATCTATTACTGACATTTTCAATTCTTTTATTCTTTAATATATCATTTCTGCAATTTATGAAGTCCTACATATGCAAGCCGTTACCAAAATACGTTTGCAAAAATATGTCCAAAAGTTGTATGTTAATACGACAATTGTAGGTAACTGACCTTTTATATATATTATTTTACATTTTTATTACTATTTCTAGACCTTTTGTTCATATAAAAAAATAATGTTAGATGCAAAAATGTGTCATGCACATAGTACAAAACCAAAATTAGCCAAATCGGTCCAGCAGTTCTTGAGTTTTAGCTAAACTAACAAACGTCATTTTATTTTTATGTACAAAATAACCGCCCAACTATAACAATAATGGTCGAGAATTTATAAAATTTTCACAAAGTTTAACTTGTGGACTCTTAACATGATTTAACGTGCGCAATAAACTAATATTTCATTAGATCATATCTACATGTCTAATTTACTAAATACTTGTTGACGTTTTACAAACAGAATTAGACGTATAATATCATATGGAATTATATTTATCGTTGCCTGCTTTTAAGTCAATGAACTGTTACATAGTCTGTGCACATTGCAAATATCTATTTGTAATGTACTCGTACAGATTGCAATGAACATCAGATAACTATCTATTTTAATAATAATGAGAATATTAATGTCAAATTTATAATAATGCTAGAGAACCGCATCGAGTTCATGCTTGAGTGTTTACAATTATTTAATATTCCTCAGAAATAACTCTGGTGGTGTACGAAATCTCTTCACAAATAAGTTACAGACTTTCTTAACTCTAATTATCGACTATGGACTAAAAATCATCATTGATAAATTATGTGATTTTCTATATTGATTTCCAAACGAAATACAAAACCTACAAAATGAAATTGCGATTCCAAGATTATTACAATTCAGTTTATTAATAATAATAAATGTTACTTGAGTTTAAATTAATAAATATAAAAATGTTATTTATTTGAAAAGGTATCTAGTAAACAATTGTCAAAATATAATAGCACTAAAGGAGCATTTTATTTTTATTTCTATCGTCAGGATTTTTCACAATAAAGATGCTAATGAAGTTGTCACAGACATTGCTGAACAGTTCGACTGTCAGTCAGTTTATTAAGATTGTATGTTTAAAATAGGTATATGCGCATAATAATTTCAAAATCTACAGTAATTTCATGTAATATTGAAATTAACAAATATTTAATCTCTATTTATGTATGTATCTATCAAAATACAACGTTTTATACTGTTTACATATTTTTTTAAAACTATATAATACCATCAGACTCAGCAGTCGTCGTCCTGCCCGAAAAAGCAGCTCCTGATCATATTGAAATATACACATAGAGTTTATCCAAATTGGTCTTTGAGGATTTAGGTAATAATGTACATATGACGAAAGAATTATGTACATATATTAAAATGATAAATGAAGACAAAATCATCATCTGCTTCTGAATTATCCCATTGATTCGGGGTCGGCGTAATATGTTTTTCTCTTCCGTTCATCCCTGTTTCTTACCATATCATATTTCACACGATCCATCCATCTCTTTTTCCGCCTTCTTTGGCCTTTATAACCATCCACATTCATATCACCTTCCTTAAGATATGATCTTCTTTCCTACGCATTACATGCCCATACCACGACAGATGATTACTCTTCAACTTCACCTACACCGGCGCTACTTTTATACTTCCTCTAATGTCTAGTTATTCTTTACTTTATCCATTCTTCTCACATCACACCTCCATCACATTCTCATTTCAGTTGTCATGAAGTCTTTCATCCGTCGCCTTTACTAAATGAAGACTAACTATCATAATATTTGATGCGGTTTACTTCTATTACAAACTCTTATGATAACTTTACTAAATTTTTAAATTTAAAATGGCTACAATCAACACAGCACACGTCATCATCAATCTATCTACACAAAACAATGAAATTACCTACTATAACCCGATTAGACCAGACTCCACAAGTTGCACGGGCTTGCGATGTGATGGATGACCGGTCAATTTCAATTTGAACCGGATTCGCTTCTGCCAACGGTCACTTTGCTAGTAGAGGGAGAGTACCAGGGATGCGAATCGAACCTGGTTTCTCGTAGAAATACGGGATTTTTTGGCTTCATTACAAGAACATTTTCATTCATAGACTGTCTCGGTATTGTAGCAGTTTAGCACACCTAGTTACTTCCGAAGGTCGCGGATAGTTCGGTTCAGTTTGCGTATTTTCTATGTATATTATTCCCTTCTCATACAAATTTGTATGGTATTTTAACATACGGAAATCCGTCAAAATACAAAACTGTAGAGTTCTAAAAC